GCCCGTTTCACCGCCTAGCCGTGTGGCAATGGGCACGTGTCACTGCAGTGGCTGGGCTGACCACACCCCATCATCCAGAAGTAGCTGATTTATACGAAGGAACGATGGAACAGAACACCCTCATGAATGGATCAACCCAGCCATGGGCCAGTGGGTTAGCGAGGGGGTGGGTCTAGTTACAAAAGCCAGATAGGCCACCTCTTACCGGTGCCCTTGCCATGGGATGTCCAGGGCCCGGTGATTCGCAGAGCTCCTGCCAGCAAGAAGATCCTCACCAGACAGAGCCCTTCTATCTTGGACATGCCAGCTTCCAGAAACTAAGAAATAAAGTCATGGGTCGTGTGCAATGGCTTGCTTTGAGAGGTCAAGGTGGGAGGATCATTTAAGTTCAGGAGTTCAAGACCCATACCCAGCCTGGGTAACACAGCAAGACCTCATCTCTACCAAAAAAAAAAAAAAAAATATTAGATGGGAGTGGTGGTGTATGCCTATGGACCCAGCTACTCGGGAGGCTGAGGCAGAAGGATCACCTGAGCCCCAGAAGTCGAAGCTGCAGTGAACCATGATTATGCCACTGCACTCCAGCCTAGGCGACCTTAAAAAAAAAGGAAGAAAAGAAATAATGTCTATTTCTTTAAAAACTACCCGGCCTCAGCCTCAGCCTCAGGTACTCAGTTACAGCAACAGAAAACAGACACTCTATTAGGCAGAGAAGCCAGAGCTGCTGACATGTAGGCTGGGTGAGGGCGACATGGAGATTGCCACTAGTAACCCACGGGCATTGGCACCCTTCAGACCTGGGAGAACGAGAAGGAGGGCTCTGCATGTCTCCCTTCTGCTCATCACATGTATGTGTTCATCTGTGTAAGCACATGTTCACTCTGGTTCACTCCTGTTCTTTCCTTACACTCGAGTTCACAGGGTCATGTTCATCTGCGTCATTAGCACAACACTGAGAATGTGGCTGCACTTGAGGACATGTGACATGGCCCAAAGCGGGGCCTGGACCCTTCTCACAGTGGGGAAAGGAGAACGCCTTCCCTCGTGACTTGCTGGGTAGACAGAGATGGGGTTTATTACTGTGAGGGGTGCTAACATGCGCAGGAGGCTATACAGACACTGCACAGACTGGCCAGGGACCAATGTATAACCTGTCTCAAATCCATCTCAAACACTGGCTATGAAATCACAGGCTGGATTCTTTTCTGTTTTGTTAAGAGATGGGGTCTCGATGCATTGCCCAAGCTGATCAAACTCTTGGGCTCAAGCAATCTTCTCTCAGCTGGGATCACAGGTGTAAGCCACTACACCTGGCTGGACTAGACTCTTTCCACATTGATCTTTTATGCTGAACGTGTTAAGCTCAGTCTCCAGAGATGGTGCTGTGGGGTGAGGATGTCTGTGTGCCCGGCCCATATCAGCTGCCCACAGCCCATAGCCCATAGCCCCCAGCCCTCAGGTGACATCAGGGCCCCGGCCCAGGCACCCCTGACCTCCTAACATGAGCATCTAACGCTCAAAAGTCTCCCAGGAAGAGAGGGGTCCTCAGCAAACATGTTCTAGCCCAAAGACCTGACCAGATAAATCTTACATCTCCTTCTCAACGTAAATATCAGTCCCTCCCAATCTGCCCCCATATCAATGCATTCTTAAGTCCATATAACACATTTGCCAGTATTCGTGTAAATCCGTCTCCCCTGATAGCCTCCAGGGGCTGAGGTGGCAGGACTATGTCTGGTTTGATGGTTGCTATTTCCCTGTCACTGGCAGAGCCCAGCTGGCAACGGAATTCAATGACCATGTGTGGGTCAACTGCCATTCCCCACACAAATGTTACAGCAGAGCTCCACACAAACACAAGACATAAACAGAATGACAAGGAAAACTTAAATCAGGTCATAGAAAATGCCTGTGCACAATAGCAACTATTTATTTTGGGTTGGGGTCTCTGTCATCCAGGCTGGAGTGCAGTGGCACAATCACAGCTCACTGCAACCTTGACTTCCTGGGCTCAGGTGATCCTCCCATTTCAGCCTCCTGAGTAGTTGGAACTATAGGCATGTATCACCATGCCCAGTTAAGTCTTTTGTAGATAACAAAGTCTTGCTATGTTACCCAGATTGGTCTCCAACTCCTGGGCTCAAGCAATCTCCCTACCTCAGCCTCCCAAAGTGCTGGGTTTACAGGCATGAGCCACTGCACCTGGTCTACAAACTAAACCAAAACACTGTATTTCTGAAAACATACTTGAGTATTTTTACTCAGGATGAAAGCAGACAGGATACTGACTTTCTTTTTGAAAACAAGTGCCTTGCAGTTAAACTAAAATCTGGGCCAGGTGCAGTAGCTCACATCTATAACCCCATCACTTTGGGAGGCCAAGGTGAAAGGACTGCCCGAGTCCATGGGTTAGAGACCAACTTGGGTAACTTGGCAAGAACTCATCTCTACGATAAATCAAAAAATTAGCTGGGCATGGTGGCGCATGCCTTAGTTCCAGCTACTTGGAAGGCTGAGACAGAAGATCAGCTAAGCCCAGCAGGTCAAGGCTACGGTGACTGTGAGTGTGCCACTGCACTCCAATCTGGGCAACACAGTGAGGCTCCAACTCAAAAAAAATACAACACTAAAATCTGTTCCTTATTTTTGTACAGAATACTCTTAAACAAGTTTTTTTAAAAGTTGACTCAAAAACTGCTAAATGGTATAAAATCTGTGGAAGGGAAGCATTTAATGCACAGAAAAGTTAAATGTACATTTGTCCTTTGAGCTAGAGACCCAACCCTAGAAGCTTACCTTGAAAATACTACTCTACAACTGGAACATTACACACAGAGATCTATTCACTGTGAGTTACTCATGGATGATAAAAGATGGGGAAAGAAAGGTTGGTGGAGAACAGACACTATGTCAAAACATCCACCGACAAGTCACTCTGTTACTCTTTAAACAGGGTACTGTGATGGTCCCGATCTTAAGCAAACCTCAACCCAGCATCACCAACAGAGTGACGTAAATGTATGTCTTCCTGATAAAGAGCAACATCGCCAGCAAAACAGTCTCCAGACGACCTTGTGAATTCTCTAAAGCTGGCCAACTGCAGCTTCCTGGCCTGCTTTTGGAAATCTGGTTTTACTGGAACAACGCCATGCCTATTTGCTGGTTATACTACAGGCAGTTTGACCACCACCAGGAGAGAGCATGGTAACTGAAGACATTTCAGTCCACAAAGCATCAAGTACATACTACCCCACCCTTCTCAAAGTGTGCCAAACTGCTCTGGATTCAAAGATCAGTTACCAGAAGTATAAAAAGTGGAGAGGTCATTCAAACAGGCCATGAGAAGACAGTCACAAATATCAGGATGTTCAACTTTGTAGAAGAACATGCTCTTCAAGAAGTCAATGTAATGGAGGAAAAACGGGGACTGATGTCAGTTCAGACTAAAGACTAGGCAAATGCAACATGTAATTCCTGAATGGATCCTGGATCCACAAAACCCAAAAGCCTATGCTGGAACAATGTGGTGCATTTCAGCTTGTGTCCTGTTCTCTGGATTGAAGAAACAGTAGCATGTTCTTAGTAGGACAACATCCTCATCTATAGGCAGTATAATACCAAGTATTCAAAGCCCACATGTCACTATATAACTTTTCAACTTACTCTCAAATAGCTAATCAGGAAACATATTTATTCATACTGGGAGAAACCAAACAGGAAAAAACGCTCAAAATGGGTGAATTTACTACAGCGGGCATATGTTGTATCGAATGATCAATACGACCAGTAAGCATGTCTAAGACTCTTCGAACGCAAAATGTAGCCAGGCACAGGGGCTCATGCCTGTAATCCCAGCACTTTGGGATTCGAGGTGGCAGGATCGCTTGAGCCCAGTTTGAGACCAGCCAGAACAACACAATGCAAACCAGTCTTTACAAAAAAAAAACAAAAACCTCAAAAAATTGGCTGGGCATGGTGGTGCACACCTCTAGTCCCAGCAACTTTGGAGGCTGAGGCAGAAGGATCGCCTGAGCCCAGCAGGTCGGGGCACAGTGAGCCACGACAGCACCACTGCACTCCAGCCTGGGCGACAGAGTGAGACCCTGACTCAAAAGAAAACGAGGCATATGTGAAAAAAGAACACACAGTCACAGTCCTGTTGATGGTAAACTGTATTATTCCAGGACTCATGTGACAAAGGTGGCAGCGGTCTTTGTGGAGGCCCCGTTGTGCAACTCGGAGGTGACAGGGGGCTCTGTGGGGACCGGGCCTTTGCGGGGTAGTAGCCCTACGGGAAATGGGGGTCGCGCGGGG